GTTCCTTTTCCCGACACGAATGCAGGTGTAGAGACATCTGCATCTGTCAGTAGATGCTGCTTTTGAATAGACCTGAAGAACTCTAAACCACTTGTGAAACTCTTGCCTTGATTAGCAGGTAGGTGAAGCAGTAAGGGATCTTTCCCTGACCGCCTGTAGCAAAAGCTGATGGTTAGACGCGATTATGTAATGGGAAAGCCAGGAGTGAAAGGGACTCGGGATGCGGAGCAGCTGGAGACCAATGTGATCCTTCTTCACAGGGGAGGAGCGAGGAGGAAGACTTGCCAGACAAGATCCAAAAGCAGTGTGACCTTCGCTTTTCTAATAAGGTGATTCTGAAACTGTGTAGACAGCTCCTACCCTGAGCTCCTGAGCTGCTTGTTGCAGGTACGTGATTAACTTCTGGGGCACTTGCTGTCTGAAGAGTTGAGCTGAGTATAACAAGTGCCCGACTGTCAGAAACGTATGGGTGCTGTCTAGTTGCTGTTAGATAGAGCCCATAGAAAAAAAAAAAAACTCACACATTTGGAGAACCACCTTGAATGTAAATAGAAAAATGGCAGTTTTTTATCAGCAAACAAAGTTGGTATCTCAGCAGTTTTCTAATATATCAGAATCATGCCACGCCACGGGATGTGTACGGCACGGTACTGCTGGTAAGGGAATGTCGGAAGTGACTCTGTTATCGTGTCAGGACAGACCTTCCATTAGAGCTCTGAGTGGATGTGACACTGACAGATACAAATCTGCAGTCTGACAGATGTTTTCCCAGCCATGCAATTGCCTCTGGAGCAAATGTGGTTTTAACACGAGAAGCCTGTTTCTAGTTCTGCATTAACCAGCTGACTTGCCTGACAGGCAGTTACAGCACAAACCTACTCCACTTGCTGTGCTACTGAGGTCTGTCTGCTCTTGAAACTGTCTTTGTGTCTGAGGAACATCTTAGACTGCTGCTCTCTCATCTCTCCATCTTACTGTCTTCTGTAAAATGCTAACTTCTGGTGTAAAGCTTTGAAAGTGAGTCTTGATTAAGTCTAAGGTACTACTATACTTCATGTGGGAACTGCTGTTCAGTCAACACTGTTAGCTATCTGTTTTTTTCTAGCAGTTGCTTGAATGCCACGTTCTTGGAATACTGTCTACAACTGATTAGCCACAGAAAAGACTTTTTTAGCTGCCTTCCCTGCTCTTTTTATTCCTCATCAGAAGTATAATAAGGGTTGGGAAAAGATGATTTGCACTGAAGGCACCTAGTAAACAGCTCCCTGCTTCTAAAATAGCCTCTGGCCAAGCTCCAGCTTGTGCAAGGTAACTTGGCATTATCAGAACAAGGTGGTATAAGCTGGAGTTAATGAAGAATAACAGTGATCCCACTTTTTTTATTTGGAAGTGGTGAAGTCTGAGCACTCCTATACTGTAAAGGCCTCGCTCTCTGTGGCTGGATAGTGTGGGTGCTGTAAACACCTGTGTGCCAGTGGTAGAAGTACAGCTCAGATTTCCCCAGTGGGTTTTCTCCTTGTCCTCCCTTGGCAATAAGGATGCTATTGTGATGAGTATGCAGCATTCCTCAAAAGCAATCTTGCTGGCACATACAGGAGAAACCATTGTTCACTATTAGAAGTGTGTTGATTACAAGCTGTTGTTTTTCTGTCTCTTCACATGGAGGCTTTTTAACTAAGCAGTCTTTTCTTTTTTTTTTTTTTTTAATTTTTTAAGCTGAAGGTCACTCTGGTAGTTTTATTCTCATTTCCTTTGCCCTGCCCCATACTTAATGTGGAATACTGTAATAAAACAGCTCCCACCTCCTCACCTCTCCTCCCCCAAAAAATTAAAGCCCAAAGACTTAATATTTGCACCTTGAACATAACTGCTTGATGAGGACTTTGGTATATTTGGGTGAACTATAGGAGATCTGAAGCCTTTTCCTATAGCTTTGCCTTGAACAGTAGGAGTATTTCTTGTTAGAAACATGCCTGCAGGCATTAACATTAGTGAACTTAGCAGCACAATGCCTGGAATAATGAAAAACCTGGTTTAGAAATTAATGCCAGCCTTGCATTGCATTTGTCCCCTAACAGCCTTCTGCAATTTAAGCTGCCTGTTTGTCCTTTAGTTACAGCTTCTGAATTGGATAATAAAACTTCACAAGTGAAATTTCTGAGTAGAAGCTGGTTATTAAGCAAAAAGAGAAAAGAAGCAGTTATTTATGGAAAAATGGTTTCTAGCTGATGTTTTCACTGCTTGATTGGTATAAGAACTGAAATAGGCTATTTGGAGTTCACAGCAGTGAATCTGACTAATCTGGCTAATGAGTAAATATGCTTAGGTGCTTGTTTGGATAGCAAGTGTGCTGGGAAGGGACAGAGCACTACAAGTGCCACCAAATACACATGGATGGTGTTGGCAATCCCTTTGAAGATGAGGAATTTACAGCTCATAATATCTCACAGTAAAAGTGATAAGGGAAGTCAGTGCCACTCTTGGTACGCTCACGGGTTTTAGCTCAGGTAGGCTTTAAGGAGAAAAATAGTTTTCAGACTCACTATCTCCTCTGGATAAGTTTAAGGGGATTCTGCAGAATGCAATGTTTCTCCTGTAAAGAAGCAGACGATGGAGACAGCTCAATCTGGATTTCAGTCAGTTGCTGGTGGAAAGAGTAGCAAGGTTGGAGTTCTGTGTCTAGAAAACACAGAAACCAAAGGCCTCTCTGGAAGTTCTTACTAGTGTAGTTACAACATGCAAATATTCTGTGCCAAGGATAGCACTAAGGCTGCAGGAGAGCTTCAGTGACCTAAAGCCAGGAAGAGCAGTGTGAGCTATCAACAACACTGTAGCTTTCCAGCAATTCAGAGCTACTATCATGCCCTATTAACTGGTGGTTTGTGCCCCTGGAAATCTGTACAGATGCTTAATACATGACTTTATAAAGGGTGCTGACTCTAAAGTCCTTGAGTGGGAAGAGAAGGATGTGCCTGCAGAGAAGGAATGATGTCTACACTTCATCTCATTGAGAAGTGAAATTCTTTGAGTTTTTAATCAAATAAAAAACAGTTGGAACTTTAAAGGTTAAAAACCTATGGATTTGTCCAAGAAAGATCTTTAAGAGGAATGTGTAAGTTGCTGTGTTGCACTCAAATTTGGACTAAAAATTGTTCAGTAAGTATAAATCAGTCTCATGCATCCTGAACCCAGACTGCCTAAAGATCCTGGTGATACAGAGGATGGTGATGTGCAAAGTTTCATCATTTATATAGCTGATGCTGTCTATTCCCTTGAAGACTGGCAGAGGGGTAGCATTTGCAATGCTAGTTTCCACTTCTAAAAGCTATTTTCTAGGTGACAGTAACTGTGCAACATAACATGTGCTGCACCAAACTGCTGTAGAGAAACAGTAGGTTTGCTGCTAACAAAGGTGGAAGCTGCAGAAGAGACCTTAACGTGGCTGTGCAGTGCCTGCATGGGAAGCAAACTCTCTTTTCTGCTGATGCTGTACTGTTTTGGCTTGATCAAACAGTGCTGCTGTTCAGACATGCCCTGAGGAAAATGAACTATGTGAAAGTCACTCTAAATCACCCTCAGCTGATCACCCTGTGTTGAATAAGCATTGCAGAAGCAAGGTGATTATGACAAATCATACACCTCTCTGGCTGCAGTGGGCACAGCTCTGCTGAGGGGGTGTGGTGTGGTCAGTTTTGGTTTTATTACTTGGGCAAAATTGGATCTGCAGAACTTGGCTGGTTGTGTCAGGTACACTATGAGCTATTGACTGCTGTAGTTTACAGGGCTGGAAATGTAACCAGAGTATGTGACACTGGACCCTAATGACATATGCTAAACTTGTCTGTAGTGGAGGTGTCCTTGCTGAAATGGTGATGCACATGGGTCTCTCATTCCATGAGACAGCAGGGAACAAACTTAGTCTCTAGCTTGAGCTCTCTTAGTAAAGGTACTGCACTGTAATTGCCTTGATTCATGTTGAAACACTGGTGAGGCTTCTAGTGCAGTGGGTAACACCATAAACTAATGGTTCTGGCTCAAGGTTGGGTAAGACTGGCTTTTCCTGAGGGGTTTGGATGAAGATGCTGCAGTGAGTGAGAGACTGCAACAGCAACAGTGAGGGAGAGCTTTTCTTGGAAAAATGTTACCCTCAACAGACTGGCACTTAGAGCAGCTGGAAGCTGTTACTCCACTGCCAGTCAGTGGCTACAGGTCAGGTGAAATGCAGATGTGCACTTGCATCTGATCTTAGAACCTCCTGTTGTACCTGACATTGCAGTGTTGAGCCCTAACCTGATTTTTACAGCAGTACAGAGGTAAGAGATGCTCCTGGGGAGGACTGGCTTCAGTCTCTACTAAAGTCTTCCCTGAGTTTCTCTTTTGTTAAAGAGCTGGGGTACAGGAAAGAAAAGGTAATGAGTGACTGACTTTGTTGTATGTCCTAGTTGAAGGGAAGGAAGTGAAGCTGCCAGCTTTGTAAACAATAACTTTGACACTGAAGACAAGGCTCACATGACCCTTTAAATTTGGAAGTGGAAGTAGCAAATGACATGACCTATGTATTTTTATCCTGCTAAAACTACAGCAGACTAAGAAAGTCTTGTAGCTCTTCTCTCCCATTTTCCTGCCTGCTGCCTCTGTTCCAATTTCAGCTGCAGTCCTAACACAACACCTTGCTCTTATTGTTTTAAAGCCCCCAAGAGGAGCATGAGCTTAAAATAATCATCTTCCCATTGTGTTTTGTTAGTCTTCAATAAATATAGCTCTACCTGCTTCTTATGAAAAATGTATATAAAGCAACATCTGTTGTTTTTTATCAGCTCAATGAACAATTAATTACCATGTAGTCAGCCCTTCTAAGCAGACCAGTGTTATGGACAGACTTACAGTAACGCATCAGCATTGCAAATCCCTTCACAAATACCTTACCAATGTCTTGTTTCATATCTTCTAGTAAAAATTGTTACCTCTTAGTAGGCTGACCATGTGCTATCTTGACAGGCACGTGAAGAGCTGAAACAAGATCCTGTGATTCTGTGAGTGTGAGCAGCACAAAGCAGTGAATGCAGGGGGTTACGTGCCATGTGAAGGATACCAGCCATTAATATAATGTTGCTGAGTACAGTGAAACTGCACAACTTCATTGTTTTTTTTCCACTGCAGGAGTTTGAAGATGCAGCAAGACTGACAGTGAGGACAGAAGGATCTCCCCTAAAGAAGTGCAGAGTCTGAGCTCCTGGCCATGTCTATCACAGATCACAGCCCCTCCACGGGCGTGGTGACTGTGATCGTGATCCTGATCGCCATCGCGGCGCTGGGGGCCCTGATCCTGGGCTGCTGGTGCTACCTCAGGCTGCAGAAACTCAGCCAGTCTGAGGATGAGGAAAGCATTGTGGGCGAAGGAGAAACCAAAGAGCCCTTCCTGCTGGTGCAGTACTCTGCTAAAGGACCCTGTGTGGAGAGGAAAGCTAAGCTGACTCCCAACGGCACCGAAGTTCACAGCTAACCTGGAGCAACACGTGTCGATGGACTGACATGTGTAACCAGCACAAGAATCTATACTGTGAAGAACCTGGTCACGTGCACACCACTCATCAGAAAACACCCTGATGAGAACTAAATAAGCTTTGTTTGCAACTGCATGCACTGAAAAGTTGCACTTTGCATCAACTGTGTATCCTAATTCCTCTATGACAGGAGCTGACTCGCCTGGCATAACGTCCATTGCCGGCAATGGGCACAGGGATATACTGGTGTGAAGAGACTACTACCAGTTTTTTTTACTTGAATGTTTAGCTGAGCCTATTTTGATGGAGCTACTACTGTAATGTGAACTACTTTACAATTGTGAATTGTAAATAGGCCACTAGAAACTTTTGCTTTGTGTTCTGTAGCATATGGGAATAATATGATGCAACTGTACATAATACACAAGGGGTCTCCTGAACCACAACCATGGATGGGATCCCAGACCTTCAAAACCAAATGTGCAGTTAAACCTTGCTTCTGCTACTAGATTGAGTGCACAGCTGTAAAGTCAGAAGTCCTGCTTTTAACAGTTTATTGGACTGGTGCAGAGTATTTACTTTGAAAAGGGATAAGCCTTCAGTAATGTGCTGAGGGAGGAAACAGAGGAGCTACAAGAAAGGAAGAGATTTCCTTTAGCTGCAGCTATCTAGGTTAAGTTTTGGCTGCTAGAACTGAGTTCTCTATGTAGCCTACTGCAAAGAAACTGCCATGCTAATGGAAACTAATGATGGATACTGAATTCTCAGGGATGGTCCAGAAGGTTTCCAGGAGTCTGAAATGGCAGTAAAGCAGGCTTTTCTCTTCTGTAGGTCTGTGTGCTGAAACTGCAGAAGTGGTTCCTTATCAAAATGGGCTTAAGTGCAACCAGTATGAATTTTTCCTAGAACCCTGGTTTGTGTACTTAGCAGGTAGGATGTATGTTAACAGCCTGTTATAAAAAGGCATTTTAATCCACAAACAGTCACCTATAGAATTCAATTAATGTATCTTGTAGATAACTCCCTGGATTTAACTGTACTTCTGCAAGAGAAGCTTCAGTCTTTCCTACTCTTGGTAATAGGGGCAAGGGCAATTGCTGGTCAGTTTGTAGAAGTTTTTAGCTACCAAGGGCCCAGTCCTTCCAGATAAGAACATACATTTCCTGCTCTGTGCTAGAGTTCAGCTACAGTACTGTAAAAATGTGTTAAATGGGACATTCTGGACCTCAAAGGTTTGGGGGGAGGATGGGGGACAACACTGAGCAACAATGGCAGCTTACATGTTCTAAACTCTTAGTGTAGGCACACGTGCTTTGAGGCCACTGGCCTGTTTTCTATTACTTTATACATGGCCTCCTTTGCATACTGGTATTTTTAAACACTTAATTGTCTAGCCTTAATTCAGCTCTAGAGGAAGCATTCAACTTGCTTCTTATACCTCTACACATGGAGTAACTAAGGTCTAGCAAGCTTGCTTGAGAACTTTAACTATATGCAAGACAATAATGACCTAGACAAAAAGTCTTGTCCTCTCTTCTACACTAAGATGTTGAATTGCATTTTTAGTGCTACATTTGCCCTTTTTTTTTTTCTTTTTTAATTGAAGGCTGTAATTTGAAGCAAAATGAATGCTGGCAGTAGCAAAAAGCTCCTGCTGTTGCCTCTTGAGTACAACATATGTGGTACAGCTGATAGATGTTCTTAACCTGACACATGCTTTTTTAAGATCCTGGTCTCCTGAGACTTGCATGTGTAGCCAGATCTGTACACTTCAATTGCTGTATTCCAGACCTCTTGTAAATCAAAGAGAAAAGGATTAATTCAGTAAGACTTTCTTTAGTTTTCAGCAGAGAACAGTTCACACATGGCTCTTGTGGGTTTCAGGACAGTCAGAATACTGGGATACAAAAGTGATACAAAGTGCTGAAGTTCTAGAACAGAACAGTTGTAGCAGGATGACTTTGTCCATTCAAGTTTACTGATTACACAGATGAAGTATCTCTATTTTAATTCAGCAAAGAGAATGCAGTGTCAAGGGCAAACTTCAGAAATTATGGAAAAGTATAAATCAAAGGTCTAATTTCTTTTCTAGCAGCTGTAAGAGAAAGCCAGTGAAAAATAACTGGTCCTTAGTCAGAGGTGCTTCACACTGCTGCCCCTAAAAATCAGCATCTTTAAATTAAATGGATAGGTGTTTGCAAGTTAGTGCAATAGTAAAGTGCAGAAAGTGTTTTCCATTCTCCTCTTCTCTCAAGATTGGGGTATCTAATAAGTTGTTCAAGTATACAAAAATATTCCATTTGATTGTTTTTTTCCTAGATCATGTGGGGGAAGAAGTCTTTATTTACAATGAATGTCAATAAAATTTGCATAAATACCTACCCAAACATTTGACTTTATGTAAGCAATCATTCTGTCCTGTTTCCACTACTGTGCTCTGTCTCTATGGTATCAGTATTATCAGTCCTTCTTTCCTCTAACATGGCAGTAGCTGCTGAAGGTGATATATCGTTATCTTCAGAAAGTGTTTGCTCAGACTGAAGGGATTCTTTAAGTTCATCTCTGCTCTGTAGCTTTCCTTCCCTCGATGCTACCAGAATTCTCAGTAAAGCATTCTCTTTAAGGAGGTTTTCTGATGCATCAGCTAATTCTTGAAGCTTTTCAGCCATTTCTAACAATTCTTGATTCTTCTGGTCATATGTGGCCTGTAACTGCTCACTGTGGAGCTGCAGAGTCTTGTGCTGCTTTTCCAGTGTGTGTTTTTGCTGCTGCAGTCTCTGTTCCTCCCTCCGAGCTTCAGAAAGCTGTGCTTCCAGCTGGTCATGGGCCTGGTGGAGGGCACTGATTTCTGATCTCAGCTTCTGAATTTCTCTCTCCAAGTGTGAGATGTGTCCTTGCTGCAGAACTGACTCTTTATGTCGGCACTCTTTGGTACAGGGCTCTGATGCAGAAAGACTTGAGTGATGTAAAATAAATTTAAGGAGATTGGGAAGGTTAACTGAAAAGTCTTCAGGGAACTTCACACTTTGCTCCTTCCTAGAAAGACATTAACAAGTCATAGTAAAACATTCAGATAGGTAAGCAATGATAATTTTATCTAAGCATCTGCTGTTCAACTTGATATCTTGGGTTTTTTTGATCAAGCATAATTGGTACGGCAGCTAAGAGAAACCTAAACTCATGTAATAAGGATAAGAGCACATAGATTTTCTTCTGATGAACTCTTTTACCTGTCTTCTAGTCTGGGTGCCATAAACATCTCTGCCTAGATTGGTAAAAAACAAAAAGTATCCCAATCATGGCATCAAGGGTTAAGAACTTGAAGGACGTGTGGTAGCATTACTGCTGGGCAGGTGTGATCAGAGCATACTGACAATTCATATTTGGAAGTTGAAGGATAACATTTAAGTGTTCCTAATTCTACATGTATTGTTAGAATTGAAGTACAGATCTACAGAGCTACCTGCTGGGAAATGACTTCTCTGACCCTATAGATGTTATCCTGGAAACAGGAGCTTAGTGTGTTCCAGCATCTGAAAGGCATTGCAAGGAGCAGTTTGCTTTTAAACACGTGAGGCTCCTGTACATCAAAATTAAGCTGTTTCTCAAAGATTAAGCACCATGATTTTCCCTCCCCTGCAGACTTCTGGTGATCCACCAAGTTACTCTTTTAATTACCATCAGCAGCTTCTCAGCTGACAATCAGCTCCCCTCCAAGTTTAATGAATCATGACATCATTTAGGCAAGAAATAGTCTGCACTAAATCAAAACTGACTCATTACACCGTGCTGATATGTTACTACATCATCTTCCTTTCTTACTGATCCAAACCACAGTCTGTATGAAAGAAGCTAAAAGGCTATTTAAAACAAATAGCAAAACCAAATATTAACAGCATGTGGTGGAAAGAAATTGAGAAGTGTTAATTTGCAAAAATTGTCTCATAAGGCAAATGGATAAGCTGCTGCACAGAAAACCTTAATATGGGGTGCCTTTATATCCAAAGGGAATACATGACTATTCTGGGAGTGCTGTGGATACTACAAACACTATCAGAACTTAATTTTATTGATTACCTACATGCAGTAAAATATAAAATACACTGGAGAGGAAAAGCAGGAGTGAAAACAATGACTAGAGGTAAGGGACCTCTACAAAACCAATTGGAACATTAAAAAAACAATTTTACTACACTATTCAGTCTGTCACTCCAGAGACAGTCTGGAACTGCTTTTTAAAAGAGACCAAGACAAAATGAGTACCTCTGAAAGGGGTAATGATCAGTTTGAATTTGAGGTGAGTCAGAACTGATACAAATGAAACTATTTCTGTGCTGAACTAAACCGTGAATTTAGAATTGCAAAACTTAAGGCATGGGTTTAAAAATTTTGTGGTAACTACACAGCACCAGTAGTCTGAATTATCATTTGCTAAGGTTCTTGAGGGAGAAGGGTGGAAATCTGTGACTGTTGGCTGGGTTATTTTGTTGTTTTGTTGGTGGGGTTTTTTAGAATTAGAACATGCATGAAGTAAGAATGCAAATATGGAAATGGATTACTGTTTGGCTTTTTTCTTTATTAAGACATGTAACCAGCTAATTACTGTAACTTAGTACAATGAAATCTAAAAATCCACAGGGAAAAGAATTACATTACCTCTGATGAGGAAAAAATAAAATGGTTGGGAGACGGTCTGTCATAAATTCCCAGGGAAGGTCGTTTCGAGTTACATCAATTCTGTTAAGAAAAGACACACTGGTGAAGAGAACAGGGAGATGAACAATCTGTATTTTCTTGTAAAACACCATTTTAGGGATTGGGAAGAAGGAAATATAAGTATCTGTGAAAGTTAAATCTAAATGTGTGCATGAGTCAGCAGAATTAACTACTAATATTCAAGATGATGAATCTCAATTTGACAAATATCTGTGGGGGTTTTTTTCCCCCTAGAAAAAACAACTCTCACCCAGCAGTTAAACTGCAGTTGCTCACTATGTGCACACCTTCCTTCCCTGACACAGACTTGCCTAACAGTTTCAACAGGAGACTGAAGTTATTTCTATTCATTAATCTGTTCCTCAAGTACAACTCCATTAATATTGTTTTCTCAAGTAGTTTGGGGAGTAAATTACTTTTGCTTCTTCAAAGGACAAGCACATTCTTAATGGCACATTTTTTTTCTAAAGCTCTGTGTAGAAAGGAACACAAGATTTTGTGAGTGAAACACTTGTTCAACTGCTTGTTACATTTCTCTCTGCATTTCAGAGTTTCTTTGATCACAAATAAAATTCTTATTAATTACAAAAAGCAGATGATCACATCAGTAATACTGCAGGGAAAACAATGGAGCAAATGAGGGAACTTCAAAGTTGGGAAGGAGAAGGGGTGTAGGCTTGAGAATAGCATCACATCTGTGGGAATAAAGCTGCAATTATAAACAGGTGATGAGACCCCAGATTTTTAATTGACTTGTTTTTTTCTGTACATCTCATGCTGCCTCCTGGAGTAAGTTCCATCAGAATAAAACAAAGATGCAAGCAGAGCAGATGTTGTAAATACTGATCTTATCAAATACATGAGCAAGAATGTTTGGGTTAAACATGACCTCCAAGTTTTCTTGCTTTTCTTCTTCCTCCCTCTTCCCCATCCCACTGGGAATGGGAAGTGCACAGGCAGCAGTGATGCTCGGCTGCCCACCAGGAAAAACCCACAAGAAGATGCATTTTGCCTCTCAAACAATTTCTCACACAGAGCAGTACAGCATATTAATATTTGCTACAAATTATCATCCAGGGGGAAAAGTTACTGATTCCCTTTTTGAAATTAGGAAGCTTCAAGATGAATTGCACTGTTTAAAAATTAGTTTTAATTAAACTGGATAACTACTGCAGTGAGATGGAAAACCACCAAATTTATACAAAGGAAAACAAAATACTGTGTTCAAAGAGAAATGAAGCAGATGACATTCACATCTACTATTTCAAGATTGTAGAGAGAAAAAAAAGTAATTATTTTCTAGGCTGATGACCCCAATGATCTTACATTATTCTGGAGAGATGAAATTAGAATTTTTTACCTTGCCACAGTGAAATTATCTGGAGGCAAAAGCCGAGCAAGTTGAATGAAGATGTGGTTAAGAGAAGCACAGAATCCACACCACTGTGCATAATAGAGCAGCAAGACATTCTGCAAAATGAAATGGAGAAGTTTGATTATCTGTTGGAGTTAATCTGCAGAAAGGAGGACTGGTTTTCACAACATCTATAACTCAGAACCCTTAAAATGTGAAAGTAAACTATATCCTAATATTAATAAACTTTATTACAAGCTATTTACTGATGTCCTCTGACTACTGAGTTAACACACAAAAATCCTTGGGGAATTCCCTTTCCATAATGACAAAATAGAGAAGATGATTTAGTTTAGGATCATTCCCTTTAAGTAAAAATGCACCAAACTTTACTACACTTGCCAAGATTCTCTTGCAATCTTAAATTCTCATGTATCTAACAGTGACTGTCTACTTCATGTGGGAAAAAAAAAAGAAAAAAAAAGATGATGTCTATACTTCTGCTTTTTGCCTCTAACTATCAAAGCAGGAGTTAGGGCTGCTGGAAACCAGCTGGAGATGCAGACATTCACTGCACACTTGAACAACAATGGATATTAAACCTTAATATATTAAAAAAATCAAATTAATTTAACTCCTGTTCAGGATGGCATCTTAGGTAAAGCAATGTCATGGCATGCAACTGGAAAGCTTTTGAATTCTTACAAACACCATACTTCATGTTACAAGGAAGAAAAGTCCATTGATATTAAGTAAGACTGAGATCCCCTCCTTAAAATCTGTGCAATGATATGCCAGAAAGCTTTGAGGAAGGAGGTTGTACCTTTCCACTTGAGAACACAGCCTCCTGGAAGGTGTGAGTAGTCACTTCTGTGATCACACGCTGTTCTGGAAAACGGGCTGAAGGGTCATCAACAAGATGCCTTTTCAAGGGACTGTAGAGAACACTGAAATTTTTAATGAAGTTTTCTGCAACGAAATGGATACACAGCAAAGTTATTTCAGTTTCACAGAGGTGATTTTGGCAGTTTTTACTCTTTAATTCAGAAGAACTTACAGAGAAAATACAAATTTAAACCTGGTTTCATGTCAATAATTTCTGACAGTTTGGTATCAACTCTTGAGTAACCACAACTGATGTGAAAACAAGATAAAGTTGCACTGGGGTTTTTTTTGTTTTCTTTGTTACAGTCTTTTCATTTGCCACACTAGACTCTAATCTTGCTTCCATCCCTATTCAATGTACTATAATAATTATTCTCTATGCTTCTATCTAACCACATACCTGCTATAGTATCATAGTATCCTCTCTCCATTTT